TTCAGTACCTAGCGAGTTGTTATTCTTCACATTAAAAGATTCTGGTAATGTTGGTTTATTTCACTGACTGGAGCTCAATCACCCTATCTTACTCTAGTTGGTAGAAGTCCACAACCCAGTGCTGTAGCTTATGATCCAATTAAACAGGTATAGCGGCTTTTTGTCAGCTATTTTTTTATGTTGTATTCTAAGATCTTGTAATCCTATCAAACATACTCTTTTTTGGATATTAGTGATTCTTGGTCTTTCGCTCAATGCTTAAGAAACCTCCAGTGATTTAGATATAATGTAAAACTTACCATTATTATTGCAGACTAGGCTTAGACTATACAGAGCCCTTTCATTTTGCTATGTAATATGTCACCTAACATTTCTTGTTTACTCAATACATTTCCAGATAACTGGAATTCTTATGCTTAGTGCTATGCTTAGGAGTATGTGCCATGTTCTTTGCATTCAATTGAGTGAATATATATGTATATATAAAAGCTGGTAATATTTATTTTGTAGATGATATATTGGAGTGATGTCAAACAAAATGTAATATACACTGTTAGTTTAGATGGTACCGAAAAGAACGTATTTCTAGATAGTAGTCAAGGCATTGGTACTGTTGATGGTATGTTTTTACTTACCATTAAGTAATTTTCCAGAATGAAATTGTAGAAAAATAGGTAGAATCATCCAAGGCATTTTGTAGCTTATTGTCAAGTTGAAGTTGAGAATCTTGTTCTTTGCCTATCAAAACTGTAAAAGGGCTATCAGTGCTAGCTAGGAAACCATGGCCAAAGATGGCACAATACCACTTCTAAAGTTGTGATTTGTTATTATTCTTTATGCAGGTTTGGCCATAGATTTTGTTGCTAGGCAACTATATTTTACTAACATGGGTCAGTCTGCACCAGGACAAGATGGAGCTGTATATTCTTGGCATCGTATTGAAATGATAAGTTTGGACCATGACAAACGTAAAACTGTGGTTACAGATATTGAAAGACCTCGTGGCTTGGATCTTGACATCAGAAATGGGTAAGAGCCAAGGTCATATGATTTCAGCATGAAATGAACCTTAATCAAACTGGCATTGGTGTAAGAAAATTTTCCTTCTATGGGGTAGAATGATAATCTCAACAACAATTTCCAGATAGCAAGACAATGGCAAGCCAACCACTTTTTCTCAAATATCTTGATCTTATATCTCTCAGAATAAAAACAAAAGATGCAAAAGGTGATGTAAGAAACATTGAAAATGACAACCTAGTTTCAAAATTGATACCTTCTCTCAATAAGATCAAACATACATTTTTGTTCCTTTCAGGTTTTTGTTCTATGGTGATTGGGGAGATAAACCTATGATAGTTCAATCTTATTTGGATGGATCTAATCCTAAAGTTATCCTGGATAAAGGATTAAGTAATCCCAATGGATTAACATTTTATAATGGGAGATTATATGTAGCTGATAGTAATTATAACAATAGAACCTCCTCACCACATCTCATGGTCTATGATGTGTCCAAAAGTTCCTGGCAACAGCTAAAACTTAGTGCCAATGTTTCTGTAAGTTTGTTAAATTGTTCTGGATATGGTCAAACTTGATAGTACTATTGCCTTCTGGGTATTGCTATCAAGAAGAGGATTGTTCAATGTCCCATAACAGCTTATTACACTCTGCAACTGGGATTCTCAACTCTGCAGAGAGTTTATAAGTTATAATCTTTTCTGATATATTTTCGGTTTTTGGAAATCATTTGACAACCAAGCTATGCCCTGATCATCTGTACCATTGTATATTTCAGTTACCTATGGGCCTAGCTGTAAGAGGTGATACACTATATTATACAGACTGGGCATCAATGGATACTAGTAATGGCTATTTGAAGTCCTATGATTTAAGATTTGGTGTTGATAATAATGTAATGTTAACTGGTGCTAGACCTACAGGTTTACACTATTCACCATTGGCTAGAAGAAGACAAGGTATATTGTATGCTCTTTGCAGTAATCCTACCATCTACCCATCTATCAGCAACTACCTGGTCTGTGATATCAGCTTCTGCTGGAAATGGTTGTGAATTTGTCATCTACATGTACTTACCAACTAGTAATTCTTGAAATTCAGGACTACTCAATTTGAAAGATGTTCGTCAAAATGAGGAGTCTTTCCTTGGATTTGCTACAACAATACAAAACCAAGCTAATTTTTTTCTGGATTTTTTGCTCCAAATTGTGCAAAATAGTAAGTTTATGATTCAGCAGCAAAATGTCTGAATTAGTAAAAATCTGGATGCTTTAATGCACCAGCTTTGATAACCTTGTATTTGTCAACATGTCTTCTGTTCCTTTGTTTCAGATGCTCATGATATAACATGTGATCGTGATGTTTGTAGTCATCAATGTATTCGTGTACCATCATCTACCACTAAACCATTTAAATGTCAGTGTCCAGATGGTTCATCTAAAATATTGTCTAGTAATCAGGCTACATGCGAAAGTAAGTGTCTTTTGCCATCTCTTAAAATATTCTTAAGGGATTGGATGGCTATTTGACTACCTCAGTGATTTTGATGGCTTGTGGAGCTTGGCAGAATGTTTGCAATTTGGATAGGTATACATAGGTTTCTCCATTGGATCGCTTTATAATTATCAAGCGTAAAGTTTCAAAACATTTTGTGAATTGAACGAAATTTGAACCATGATTATTAGATAATTTATTTGTACTTTTCCAGGACCTGCTAATTTTATGTTATTTGCTGATTTAAATTCATTAAAAATGGTTAGTTTGGATCCTGAGTCAGAATCAGGAGTTCATACCCTACATTATGGTCATATTACCAGTAATTATGTTGCTGTAGCCTATGATAAATCAACAGATACTATCTACTGGAGTGATATAACACAGTAAGTAGTATTTCTGTTAACTTGGAGGTTAAAAAAAATAGCATTTTGATTTTTCCACCAGTGTTGTCTGTTGGTGATGTCAGTTAAGGGAACATGGAAAAAGAGTTAGAGAAAAAACAGAGTATCACATGCAGCTATTTCAGCCTTTGTATCTTATTACTTTCAGAAAGTCTATATTTTCTTCACCATTCAATGGAATAGAACCAACTTTAATCTATCGAAGTAGCCAATACATAGAGGGCATAACAGTTGACTCTGATAGACAACGATTATTCTGGACTGGTTACCATAGCAACGGAACTGGTGTCATAGCAAGAATGAATCTTCAACGTGGGCCAGCATCTTATCATGAAGTTAAAATTGGTCTCAATAAACCCAAAGCTATTGTATTTTATGCTAAGAAGAAGTAAGTTAAAGAATTCCAGGGCAATATTTTCATTTCCGGAAGTATGTTGTTGGTGTTGGAAGCTGTTTTAGAATTGTTAGAATAGACTCACTCATTGCTGATGTATGCAGTTAAGAATTGATTTTGATGGTTGTCCCTATTTCAACAGGCTTATGTCTGAATGGATTGTTGAGTTATGTTTCAAAGGGCACACATCAAGGTGATCCATCCAAGTAAATGGAGAACTCAACCATTGTTTTGTCAAATTTAGGGACAATGATATCCAGGTTTTTGATAATGATAGCAAGTACACAATATGAACTACTCATACTCAATTGCAGAGCAGAATTACAGGGTAACATTTATACAAACATATTGTATCATTTTTCAGGTTGTTATTTTGGACTGATTTTGGAGGTAATAATTACCCAGCTAGTGTTCACAAGTCAAGAGCTAATGGTAAACATCACCAAGTTATTATGTCTGATGGTTTATTCTGGCCTAATGCTCTAGCTCTTCAAGATACACATCTCTTTGTTGGTGATGGTTCAGGCAAGGTCTTCATGATGGATTTTAGAGGTATGTAAATTATAAATATTTGGTGTTTTTGCAGTAGAGCTGTAGATTTGATAAATTAAAAAAATGGAATGTTGGTTGCCAAAGACTTTTTACAAATTCAAATTTGACCACAGCATAATTTGCATAACTCCTGAACATGTTTTGTTTTGTTCTGATCTAGGTAGTAACAGAAGAGAACTTACCTATTTAAGTGGATCAGATGTGTTTGGTATGGCGGTGTTTGATCAAGTTTTATTCTACTCTGATTGGTATACTAACAGTGTTTATATGGTAGATATGATCACTGGAGATCAGGAAACTATAGCTTCACATCTCTCTAGACCTACCAGTATAGTTATATACCATCCTACAGATCTCAAAAGTAAGTTTTCTATCCAAATGTGGTTGAAGATGATCCTCTGAACAGATGAGTTAAAATAGATCTGACCAGGATGTGTTTGGATTAGTCTCAACTCAGATGAAGCATGGATTGACCTTCTAGTGTTGTTGGGTAGATTTATCTATCTGAGAGATGATCTTATCAGTAAGATGGGACTGAGTTGGTAGATCTATTGACCTGGTAAAGTGGAAATTGAGCTTCTGTGCTGGTTAGGAAGGGTTTGATCTTGAGATTGAATTGATCTCCAGATTAGGTAGCACTGTTGAGGTATGGATGGATAAGTTGGTAATGTTGGATTGTTCTTTGGCTTGCTAATTTGGGAACAGATTTTCTTCCCATGAAGTTTTCCATCTTCAAAAAAGGATTGTCTGTTGATTTGGAAGATAAAGATTGGGTGTAAAAGACTGACACATTACATTTTAATTTCAGAAGATAATTTATGTGCTGAAGATACCTGTAGTGATGTTTGTGTACCAGTACCTAGATCTTACCATTGTACTTGTCATCCTGGATCTAAACTAGCAGCTGATGGGAAAAACTGTATTTTAAGTGAGTAACACTAACAGATGATTTATATATCCATATAGTTTCTGTCAAAAAAAGATTTTGGACAAAGGGCAGTATAACAGCGACAACAAAAAGTTGTGAGTTTTCCTCTGACAGTTACATCATGGTGTTCAGGGTTTCTGCCTCTATTCCAGTGTCCAGTCCATGGGTGCGTACAGAAGAGAGACGGTGTAGGGAGAGATGTGGTAATGATTTTATCTGTGCTCAGCGTGTACCTTTATTAGAGTACATGTGTGTCTGCCAAGCTGGATATTATTTATTTGATGGAGATTGTATAGGTAAGAAAATTGAAGGGGTATTTGATTTAAAAGGACATGTTCAGCATCCATTTGACCAATGGTCTTCGTTCATCAGGAGTAGACTGTCTCTTTAACTATTATGGGCTGCTCTTGTGAGAGATCTTTTAAGGTGCACTGTATGTCTTTGTTAGGACCTGAAATTCATTTTCAGATATTTTTTATTTCATTAAACTTCAGTGTGTTTCAATGTAAACTGTATCTTTGTTCTATTTTACATTTTGGCAGCGTGTGGTGAGAATATGTACAAATCATCATTGGGTTACGAACCATGTGAAGCCTGTCCATTTGGAACCAGTACTAAAGGTTCGACAGCCTCCAGTCAGTGTTTTTGTGATAAACCAAATACCATGTTTATAAACAATACATGTACAGGTAAATACATGTTGTATTTTTATGAGATTTTGTATCAGCTGTAAACAAATACAACTAATAGGTAACTTTATGAGCTGAGATATATTCCCAGTGGTAACAGTAATAGATAAACAAGACATCAGATATTCATTATTCAAGGTGAAACGCATTTTAGTTCTGGTTTTTGTTACAGTTAATACTTTCTTAGGATTTTATAAGTTTATTTTAATTAATTTTCCAGACATGCCTACAACATTTGTTGAAAGAACAACAGAGGTTACCATGACAACAGTTGCTGATATTGTGGTTACTAATGAAGTTACTGGTGAATGGTTTCAAGAAGCAGAAACAACTGTTCGAGCTGTTACTAATGTTCCTGTTATTACAATGGAGGTTACTCATTCTGATGTTACCACAGTTGAAGCCACAACACAAAAACTATATGAACAAACCCATGTTCCTACTAGAGAAACCACAGAAGAAGAAGAAGAAGATCTTGAAGAAATCGTGGATGTTTCTATGGTTACCAAAGATCCAAATACTAAATTTATGCAAGGTATACCCAACGCTGTCACTTGTATTTTACCACTAGGTTAATTAAATGTATTTCAAATAAATGTTGATTAACAGCAAAGAACTATTATCATCAGTGGAATGAAGATGTTTCAAATCACTTCGACCCTATGGGGGGTTTAGTCATGGAAAGAATGTGATTTGGGATAGCTAGTTGACAAAGAAGCAACTTTTATTTTTCAGGAGGTTACCCATTTTTTGAAAATTGTCCTCATGATTCAGTTATCACAGTAACCTTACCATCTGACAGTAACCGGTACCTATACCCAGTAACCTGGTCAGCCTATGATTCATTCAAAAACAAGTTACCAATGACCTCAATCTACCAGGTTGTGGACAAGGCTATCAGTTTAAAATGGAAAGGTAAAGGTCCAGAAGGTATTCATACTGTTGTATTTCAAGCAGAAGACAATTGGAAACAGAAGAAAACTTGCCAATTTGAAGTGCAAGTTGAGGGTAAGTAGAAAGAATTGATTGTTCCTTGATCTTCAAAAACGCCTTTGGATCACGTGCACTTATACATGTTGTTGATTGAAGCCTTGTTTCTGCCATAGTTTCCCTACTCAAATAATAAATGCACATTGCATCCTTAGGCTTTCTTATTATAAGAAACAATTGCCATGGTTGTATGCCTTAAGTGTCCAAAGAAGCTGATCATTTCTTAGTGTAATGGTTTATTTTGCTCTGTTTACTTACAGATGTTACATCACCAGTATTTTCCTATTGTCCTAGAGACCTACTGATACGTAGTAATCAACCAACGCAGAGAGTGGTCTGGCAGAGACCACAAGCTATAGATAATGTTGATGTACTAGATATTACTAGCTCACATGATTCCAATATCAACTTCCCACAAGGACAAACATTAGTGGTATATACAGCCTCTGATAAAGCAGGAAATACAGCAACTTGTAATTTTACAGTAACTATTGTTAAAGGTAAGGAAATACAGCAACTTGTTATTTTACAGTCACTATTGTTAATGGTAAGGAAATACAGCAACTTGTTATTTTACAGTCACTAATGTTAAAGGTAAGGAAATACAGCAACTTGTTATTTTACAGTCACTATTGTTAATGGTAAGGAAATACAGCAACTTGTTATTTTACAGTCACTATTGTTAAAGGTAAGGAAATACAGCAACTTGTTATTTTACAGTCACTATTGTTAATGGTAAGGAAATACAGCAACTTGTTATTTTACAGTCACTATTGTTAAAGGTAAGGAAATACAGCAACTTGTTATTTTACAGTCACTATTGTTAATGGTAAGGAAATACAGCAACTTGTTATTTTACAGTCACTATTGTTAAAGGTAAGGAGATACAGCAACTTGTAATTTTACAGTCACTATTGTTAAAGGTAAGTAAATACAGAAACTTGTTATTTTACAGTCACTATTGTTAATGGTAAGGAGATACAGCAACTTGTTATTTTACAGTCACTATTGTTAAAGGTAAGGAAATACAGCAACTTGTTATTTTACAGTCACTATTGTTAATGGTAAGGAAATACAGCAACTTGTTATTTTACAGTCACTATTGTTAAAGGTAAGGAGATACAGCAACTTGTTATTTTACAGTCACTATTGTTAAAGGTAAGTAAATACAGAAACTTGTTATTTTACAGTCACTATTGTTAATGGTAAGTAAATACAGAAACTTGTTATTTTACAGTCACTATTGTTAATGGTAAGTAAATACAGAAACTTGTTATTTTACAGTCACTATTGTTAAAGGTAAGTAAATACAGAAACTTGTTATTTTACAGTCACTATTGTTAATGGTAAGGAAATACAGCAACTTGTTATTTTACAGTGACTATTGTTAAAGGTAAGTAAATACAGCAACTTGTTATTTTACAGTGACTATTGTTAAAGGTAAGTAAATACAGAAACTTGTTATTTTACAGTTACAAAAATACAGCCTTATGTTTTTCTGTGGTCAGAATATATGAAATCTAGAGCAATTCATGCAATGACTTTATTCCAAATTATTTTATTTTGTTGCAGAACAAGAATGTAATCTTCCAGGATTTAAGTATGGGGCCTTTATTTGTGGACAGACTAAACTTCGCGAGAACATTTGTAATGTTGTTTGTGAGAGTGCACATGTTGTTAATCCAGTGGGATTATATGATAGAGCATTTAATTGTCAGAAAGAAGAAGATATAGATGAATTGAATAGAAGAATGAAACTACAAGCACCATGTTTAGGTATGTTCTTCAGTAGCTTCATCAGCATCTTTGGTAGCAAAAGAACACTGTTGCTAAATTAAGATTGCTACAGAGTGATATCTGGTATTTTGGAATAGAATGCTTAGTTTGCAGAGCTGTTGAAAACATATTTGATTAAGATCTGTGTAAAAGCTTCATTAATCATCCTTTAGTCATGTCCTAATATATTTATCAATGTGGAAAATTCATATGATCTTTTATTCAAATTTCAGCCAAAAAAAAACCACTAAAAGTTCGTCAAGAGTTCAGTTTAACTTTTAATGGACCATGTAATGCTAATGATACACTTTTAATATCTGAACTATCGACAGCCATATTGGAATATCTTCATGAATGTGATAAATGTCCTTTTGTTGATTGTCAATTTAGCAACATGTCTATTCAGTGTGGTCCTATTGTCAAGAAGAGACGATATGTTCAAGATAAATTTCAAGTGAAATGGAATATCACAATACAAAGAATGTAAGTAGAAATAGAAATTTTCTCTCTAACATGCATAATTTGTCTTGAATATAAACATCTTGTTGATTACGTAACGTCTCTTGGTGATGTTAGATCTTTTCCCATGCTTACCTCAGAAATTTTGTTAAGCACATGTACAACCATGTTCATCTTATAAAAGATGCCTAAAAATTTGTAATAGTCAAAAATAGATAATATGTTCCATTTTAGAAAGAAATAGTAATATTTTCTGTTAAGGATGTAAAATATGAATATATTCTATTTCTTTTTCAGGAAAGGATTTTCTACAGGCCAGGTTGAAGCTATACTCAATGATATTAAGATAGAACTGATGAAGTTGATCTCCGCGTTGACTGTATTGGTACAAGGTCATCAATATACTGCTGAACCTGGTAGTGTTCGTACCAATCCTAGTCAATTGGTCTGTAATACTGGAGAGATGGTTTATAAAGATGGATGTGGTGAGTAACATTTATTGGTTTCTGATTTTTATCAGGATGATCGCTACCCTGTGACGTGCCTTGATATTTATCAAGGCTGGTAAAAGTAATAGAGCCAGAAATTGATTAAGCTCACCTCTGCCAAAGGATCTCTTTGTTTCTAAGTCTATAATAGAGAATTTTATTCAGCTTCCAAGATTATTTTTTTAAAGTGAATTCTCATGCTGACTCTTGCTTATTTGCTCTTTTCAGTCATCTGTCCATCAGGAACATTTCACAACACTAGTAATGGTAAATGTGAACTGTGTGCTAGAGGATGGTACCAACCACAAGATAGTCAAACAGAATGTATTAGATGTCCTGATGGTTATTCTAAAGAAGAAGGTTCTACCAGTGATACACAGTGTAAGTAACTTTTGTGTACTTTTTTTACGGGGCTACTGTCTTGAGCACTTACATTCAACTGACAAACGGGACCCTTAGGTTTAACTGTTACACATTTGAAAATTCACTAAATGGCAGAACACAAGATTTCCTCTATGACTTTTTTGTTTCTCTTTCAGGCGTCAGTCTACCACTTATAGATGAAATGAGCAAATTCTTAATCATAACAGCCTGTACCTTTGGTTTTGTCTTCCTGTGTATGGTCATCTTTATGTATCTACAATATCAGAGGCAACAGAAGCAAGCCAGAAAGAGTTTGACATTAGCTAATTCTAATCGTTATTTGATGCCTAATATATATGTAGCGCCACCTCCAGTGCCAAAACCTAAATACCTAGAATCCAGAGATTATATTGGTTGCCATGACTACGAAGATATCGATGGTGCTCAAACTGCTAAAGCCAATTTTGCGGCCATGTATAAGATTCCCATAAATGGAGAAAGAAGAGACTCATCAAGTTCTTTTAAACCCAACGGTGATGTGGCTATGTTCATTCCCACTACTTCACCATCTTTATCAGCTAGGGAGTCAACTACTGGAGTCCAATCTTTCCGGACCTCTGATGATACACTAGTACCTTCCTCTCCACTAGATTCAAATAAATCTTTCAAATTATCCCAAGATGGTTCCTTAAAATCACCAGTATCAGCAAGAAACTCTACAACTTGTTCCTTTAGATCATCACCAGAATCCCCTTACAGGAGTCCACAGTTTGGACGTGAAAGTTCCAGCTCTTATAGGACAACCCCTGAATCTCCTAGTAAGAGTCCACCATATCTGTATGGTGCTAGTGCCTCAGGTATGTCATTCAAAACAGAATCACCATATCGCAGTCCAAGAGTCGTCCGTGAAGCAAACTCTTCTTTCAAAACATCACCAGAGTCACCTTACAGAACAACAACATTTATTAAAGATCTTCAGCCGAAGCAAGCAGTTATGGAGTTACCACCAAGAAGTCAAACCTATAGACCTCCTGCTGAAAATCCTTATAGGAGTATAAATCATGCAACCCATTTCAAACCGTTGGCAGATGTGGAATCTCCCTACAGGACAGTGAATGGTAGTTCTTTTAGACCAGTAGGAGAATCTTTGTACAGGAGACCACCATCTCCTTTGTCAGCAACAAACTCTCGAGTTTCAAATGACTCTTTATATAAAGCTTCCTTGACACCTAAAGCTAGTCCTAATGCTTCTCGAGCTCGTTTGGAAGCCATGTTTAATACCCCACCTCCCGCGAGATCTATGAAATCATTTGCACAACATAGATGCTACGAATATGATTGAGGAACTTGTAATCAAATGAAGCATTATGGCGCTATATATGTTGTGAGCTGAATGTGCTAGACTTTAGGTCATATTAGTTCCACCAAGTGACTTCTAACATGATTGTGCCATGGACCAAGTTATCACCAGCTACATTGTGTTTCCATTGTTAAATTCAGTATATATTTGTTGTGTTAATGAACAAGAAGAGTTTGAGAATAGATGTATAATGAATCTCTGCTAAATACCGATGTGTTGGTATTGTAATATTTTTGCTTCATTTGACAGAGCAGAAAGTGTTAATATTCTTCAATTAAGACAGTGATTTGCTTACATTACATCTGTTAAGACCTTATCACACGATCTTTGAATATCTCTTAAGCTGATCAGTAAAGATAGTCAGGATATCATGAACATATTCCAATTTAGGGGTGAAATAAGTGAACCAACTAAACAGGAAGGTTTTAGTCCTCAGGAGCTACACATGCTATCAATTCAGCAATTTTATGAGAATCAGTTGACGGACTACACGAAAGGTAACAACATAGAATAATTCAGGAGTTTCTTCCACCATTATTTATAAGAGCAATGTAAGAGGAGGAAATGGATCTCAGTGTTTTTTAGTGCAATGAAGAATTATAAACAGAAAATATAATTATTGAAACATTGACTTTGTATTGCTAAAGTCTGTCACTTATGTTACTTAGTCTCTGATAGCTATTTTTAACTGGTGTCGTTTTGACAATTGTTAAGATTTTAAGCAATATCCTTCCCAATCTCTCAAACATTTAAATATTTCTTAAGAAAGATAACTTTAAATTCATTCATTCTGACCCCACCCAGACAAGGGCAGACACGGTGACTCAGTGAGTTAGACGCTTGCTCGCTAACCTGAATATCCAGGGTTCAATACTGCCATAGGTTGACATAATACCTTTGGATTTCTGAACCCGTTTCCCCCCTGTCTGTGATGCAGGTAAGAGGGGCTGATATGGAAAAAGCTTCTAATAGTTCAGATGGGACAATATACTGAGGCCCGATGTGCTACAGGCTGTGCACGTTATAGATCCGGCTAATGCCGCTGCCCCGGCAACATTTCCATCATTGCACCATGCATGGCATTGCCCGTCTTCATTAGCCCACATGGTGCAGTAAAGTAGGATGTAAAACTCCATTCATTTCATATCATTTTCCATCAAGACAAAATTATGTTCAAATTTTCCCGCTCTTATTAAACAACATCTGTCTAAAGATAGCAATCAGATTCTCAGAAAGTTTCAGACGTATACAGATTGTAATTGTTGTATATTGTGAAACAGGGTGTGTATATTATAATTCTGTGTATATTGTTGGTATATATTGTATATTTATGTGTGAGTATAATTTATACAATGGAGTATATCAAAGTATTAGTAGTTAGTTAGTTGTTTGTTAGTAACTAGATGGTATTACTTAGTATATTGTTAGTTAAGCAAATTCATCTTCTTAGCATCATAATAGGGGCCAAAACTACCATTTTTGTTCAGAGAGAAATTCAAAATTTTGCGTATGTGTAAGAACAAGAAAGTATGCCATGGAAGTCTACATTAGCCCTGTACGTTTTTATTGAATTGTAGGAAAACTAGAAGTAGATTCAAAATCTAAGAAAAAAAACTGATTTGTAATAAATCTAAAAATGTTTAAAAAGTCCGTTTTTTTTAGAATTATAAAAACATGTTTTGCTGTAAGTATTAAAATAGTTCTCTTGTGATAATGTGATATTCTAGTCTTATATAGCTTTATATATTGTGTAGTTTCATCATCTTTAAATATTATATCATAAAACTACCATTTTCACCAATATGACAAAGTGTACGTATGATGTAGCTAAATCCACATTCAGTGTTTGATTTTGCTCCTGCAAAATTGGTCACAATATTTGATCTTTACCAGTATTGGTCACAATGTGTAATTAAAACAGGTATTGGTCACAGTGCAATATCTAATTATTACTGATATTGGTCACAATATTTGTTCTTTCACCAGTATTGATCCCAATATTTGATCTATACCAGTATTGGTCACAGTGCAATATTTAATTGGTACTGGTATTGGTTACAATATTTGATTGATCTGTACTAGTAGTGGTCACAATATTTCATTCATACCAGTATTGGTCACAATGTTTAATTGATACAAGCATATTTCTAGAATTGGTCACAATATTTGATTGGTCTTTACTAGTATTGGCCACAATCTGTGATTGATAACAGTATTGGTCACAATATTTGATTGATTCCAGTATTGGTTAGAATACTAGATTGATTTCAGATTTCATTCATAAGAATTAACAATATGAAATAAGAATTGAAAGTAGAACTCATTTTCTGTTAGATCTATAGTACTAAAGTAATTCATTGTAAAAATTATCATTTTTAACATTATCATTTTGTAATCAAGTCAATCCATTTAATTGCCTTATTTTTCATATTTACTCTTTTGTATCCTGTATTCCACGTTTGCTATGCAAATAACAACACTGCTGAAAGGCTCGGATATTGGAATTTTGTACTTGAATTTTCTCAACGTTTGTTTAAAGTAACAAGCCCAGATAGTCAGTCAGTAAGATTTAAATTTATTGCAAAAAGTCCAGTTGTATTATTGTAAACAATGTATAAAATAGTTAGCAATGAGTAGAAAGGTCATTCTCGAGGAGGGTATCATGGGTTCTAGATGCAAATCGATATATCAAAAATATACCATGGATTTCACAATAAAAATAAAAATATGTTAAATTTTGATACACCGATTTGTATTAAAGCTTTATTGAAGGCTTCCGAATATCAATTATTGGGGATCTGTTCACTGTTGTCCCCTTTGTAATCGAGATCGTGATTTGTAGGTATTACAGTGCATCCTTACGATTGTCATCAAAATCTGTCAATTGACTTTTTTCTATCTGGAAAGTATCCTTATAAGTACATGTATTTTGAAAACATGTTTGTTTATTTGTTGGTGAAAGGAAGATTTTTTTATACAGTCAGTGATCAGTTTCAGATTTTTTTTATACAGTCAGTGATCAGTTTCAGATTTTTTTTTATACAGTCAGTGTTCAGTTTCAGATTTTTTTTATACAGTCAGTGATCAGTTTCAGATTTTTTTTTATACAGTCAGTGTTCAGTTTCAGAATTTATAACCTTGTTTTGTATTGTTCAGCTGCGTTCATGATACAAATCCGTGTACGTAGATATCAAAATCACTTGAAATAAAACGATATCTGAAATTGTATAGCTATATTGTATTTTTCTAGCCGTCTCCATTAGTGATATGGTCCTGTCAGAAAAAAACTAGATCTGTATGAAAATGGTACAGGAACTATCTACATACCACTACTTACATGCTCTAGAAATACTGTTGCTTGTCAACACAATGTTATTGCATTTCCTCTATTTGCAAATGTCTTTAAATAGAACGTTTATCTTGGGATAGAACCATTGGCGTTGGAGAACACTACTTTATCTGGTACTCTATACTTTATCTTTTTCCCGATGAACGCATGTAGTCCAGAAGTTTGGAACCCCTAGTGATGTCATTTCATGTTACTATTCGCACAGAGTTCTGGAAATTTTCTACAAGAGAGTTGTTTCCCATCAATGATATTTCCTCTTACTATCAAATACATACGTGCTCCAGTAACTGTAACGTACTATGTGGAAGCTTTACAGTGTTTATTACAATAGCCGTTTCCAAATTTGAATTTGAATTCAAATTTCAGTTTGGTGTCTCTCTCAATGAATAAATATCATACCAACTACAGTTCTTAAATGATTGAATTGACACACTTTACTGTAAATAAGAAACATTATTATGGTTTTATTCTACATTTACTTTGGTTGTTTAATATGGTCGAAGTGTACTGGAAGATATTGGGTAAATCTAATTACAACTATCAATTTTCAATTATGAAGTCTAATTGTGTTACATGCTTGACTTTACTCGATGGCGTTTCAATGTACTATTTAATGTAGGGCAGAGCCAAGTAGAGGCCACAGACAGCACAAGGCATTTAAAGATGGATTTTCTTTTTTAAGTGTCAGTTAAGCGAACTATTTGATTAATTGGTGTTTCTAATGAATTATTAATCATATCATTATTGCATATAATTAAGAGTTTTAACCAATCATAAATGTTCATGTATGTATAGTCTGGATAAACTAAAAAGACCTTTTTTGATCGGTCACTCATTGGATTGGAATTCTGCTGATAATTCTCTTCTAATTTAGCTAATTATGAATTATCTATGGACATATGAGACATACTGGTATTTTTCCAAGTCATTAGAACACCTCAACTTGCTATCCATATAAGTATAAGTATTAAAGAAGTCAATGATAAAAAAATTGAAACCGAGGAATGGGAAGGGGCGAGGCCGGGCCAGTCTCATTTCATTTCATGCCCTCCCAAAAAAAAACCGCCACATCCTTTACTGCCAGATTTTCAAATAATTCAACGCTTCGGAAACGATTGCAAATCAAGCTCAATGCAATTTAATGTGCTAGTTCTCGCAATGTGAACCCAAACAATGTCACTGAAAGCCCCCTCCCCTCTCTCTCTCTCTCTCCCCCCCTCCCCCCCTCCGACACACG